CGGGGCTGGTGAGCCCAGAGCGTCCGACAGGAACTCACAGCTGAGCAAGTCTGGTGTCACGCGCGGTCCAGCACCGGCGGGGACCCCCCAGCACATCCCACCGTCGCCGCTGAGGTTTGGGAAGCCTCTAACTGTGTACAGGAGATATCGCGTGAGGCACTCAGCCCCTCGCTGTGGTTTGGTTCAAATATTCCATTTAGAAAAGCCTGCCAAGATCACACAGCAGCTCCAGCGCTTCAATAACACGGGTTCAGCCTCTTTCAAAGAAGGTGTCAAAGCTCAGCGGGAGGTGAGCGAGGAGACACAACAGGCTGACGTGGAAGGAGCTGCTGCTGCTCACAGCCAGCTCAGCCCTCGGGTTGCAGCCCCTCTCTCGGCTATTCTGCACATCCTCAAATTATAAACAGCTCAAGCGGCTTCTTCAGGTGGGAAAAGACACAAGAAGAGAAAGGTTAATGTTTCTACATCAACCACTTAGCGCTGCGCTGAAGGGTCTGCGAACGGACGACTCGGACATCGGGTCACTGGCGGTGGAGCAGATCTCCTCACCCACCGAAGGCTCAGACGTCAGCGTGGAAAATAAGCAGCCCCGAGCCACTTCTGGTTCTTGGCACCGCCACAAGCAGAAGTGGAAAAGAACATGGTCCCAGGCAACCCTGAACCACCAAGGACTTAGGGTGGGCACCGCTCTGCAGAGGGCATGGCAAGAGCCCCGCAGCGCGGGGGGTCAAAGAAGGTGGGAGGTGGCTGTGTGTCCATCCCACAGGAATGTCAGGGAGGGATTTTCCAAGGATTTCGGTGGCTGAAGCAGTTGCCAGCCCCTCTTGCCACAGGTGAGGGAGGTGGAAGAGCCGGAGGGTGCACAGAACCCCGACAGCTGGAGAGCTGCTGTGGTGAAGGCACCAGGCCAGGGTGTTAATTTGGCATCTCTTTGCAGAGTTGCAGAACGGAGAAAGAAAAATACGACCAATCTCAGCCACTGTCAAGAAAATGCTTCTATTTAACCTAAACAAAGGGATTTTGCCTCTCTTGGGCTTCCTTGGCCTTACAATTCAAGACGCTTTATCCTGATAAGGCATTACCCAGGGATCAGATTAATCCTACGCTAACTTAAGGATCAGCTACAAACCTCTCGGTCGGCAGCGCTCGTTGCAAAGGCATGTTTTCCTCTCTGCCTGTTTTTTGAGAAAAGAAGAAAAAAAAAGAAGCCCCTTCAGAACCTCAAACCAAAAAGGGATAAACACGCTGGAGGGTCACGACAAAGACTCCCGGGGTTCATGCCCGGTGGCTACGGGCTGTGTGACAGTGGGTGGCGAGGGCAAAACCCACGATACCCATAGGTCTCCTCACACACCACATCTGGTACACCGGCCTGATCTAAGCCAGGGTGTCTTCGTAGCATCATCCACCAGCTCCAAAGCCAAGGGGAACCCATTTTCCCTGCCCTGGGAGCTCGTACCACCTCTGGGACCACGCTCCTCCAACTCTCCTTCAGCTTCTGGTGCAGGATCAGCTCCCTCCTCTGCAGCCTCAGAGGGCATGTCCATGGCAGAACGTCGATGGTGGAGCCCCGTGGGTGGCAGCCGTGGGCACAGCAGGAAAGGTCCCCTGGGAGCGGGGCCAGCAAGGACAGGTCTAGCGAGGATGTTGCTCTGAGCCCAAAAAACATCTTCATGAGGAAGGCAGCTGGTGCAAAACTCAGGAAGGAAAAGCCAGGAGGGAACATCACAGCAAGGAGGAAGCGGCACAAAAAAGGGGAGGACCAGGAAAAGGGGAGCTGAGCACAGACACATCAAGGCACCACGGGCAGGCACAAGCTGATGGCACAACGCGACAGGCACAGCACCGAATGAAGCAGCCGAGGAGAGATGTACGCAAGGTGTGAAAAGCTGGCAAAGAGGACACCAGCCAAGGGAGCAAAGTGAGGGCCACACTGCTCCCAGAGCACCTCGGACACCTTCACGCTTGGCCTGAGGTTCCCCCAAGGCCCATCCACCGGCGTTCAAGCGCCAGCGAGCAGAGGGGACACAGATGTGCTGGCATGGCTCTGCTTTTATTTTTACTTTAATTTCACTTCAGTGCCCCATCAGTGGAGCTGCAAAACAGCACAAGATGTTCCGTCTCGTCGAGCCAGGAGGACAATGACAACGTTCCCGTCTGCTCTGATCCACGGGAGCACAGGGAATGGCTGGGACGGGCTTTGGGGTGAGACGCTTCTACTTTGGAAGTAAAAGGCTCAGTCACAAACATCGAGTGGGAGACGTCCCTGCCATGGCAGGGGGGTTGGAACGAGGTGAGCTTTGAGGTGAAGGGACCACCCAAATCATTCTATGATTAAGAGAGACGGCTCTGGCCAGCTGCTCAGGGACACGCTGCCAGTGCTCCATGTGCTCGATCCAGGGGTAGGAAACCCTCAAAGGACGCAAAAGTTGGGGAAACTAAGAGAGACCGAACTCGTCTGGGAAGCTACTTCGCTTCCCCTGGTCTGAAATCTAGTTTTGCCCATTTTTCCCTGGTCTGAAATCACCTTCTGCCACTGCCCACAGCCCTGAACGCTGTTTCTTTGCTCTCGTGCTCTCCAATATCTATTTTCCGCAAAGCACCCGCTCCAGCTCATGCAGAAGAGCTCATCCCCCCGGCTCCAAATGCCACGTGAGCCGTAAGTTCAAAGGAAAAGCAGAATGGCTGATTCCATCCCATCAAACCTCTCCCTTATCACCCACTGCCCGAGTCCGCGAGAGCTTGGAGAGCTGAAGGAACCGGGTGAAATGAAGCAGGCTGCAATTTGAAATCCTATTCAGGGCAGCTTAGGCAGCCAGGCAGGGATCACAGCCCTCGCCCGCCCGCTCCCTGTCTCCAGAAAATCCCTCCTGCAAACCCAGCGCCCAGGTTTCGCAGGGCTCGCCGGGCTCCTGCCCTGCCCAGCTCCATTTCTGAGCGTGAAACAAGCTTTGTGGGAAGCCGCTCGTAATCCTGG